ATGAAATACGTAATAACTTATAGATAGAATGGTATATTGCAATAAGCTTTGCTTGGTATTCATAACCATGAGCATATAATAGTAATAATCATCTATTAATTAAGGAAGGTATAAACACTAACACATGAATAAAACATCGGCATTTTTATAATTCAAACAATATTACACATGCTTTCACCATTCACCAAAGAGTATAAATGGATTACTCACACTTCATTGTTATAGATGAGCAAGAAGAATTAGATAACCCCCTTACAATAGAAAATAAAATACAATAAGTCCTTCCTTGAGGAATAGCTGAAACACCGTCACTTTTATTACCGGCTATGGCACAAAAGTGAGAGAGGTTCAAACCTCCAAGTAGAAAGGATGCAATAGACATATAGAAGAAGAGAAATTCTTGGCTAGAAAGTTTTTAGGGCAGGGTTTTCTTCCTTTCGATTCTGAATTTCTTCTTTGGCGAACGTCCTTTGAAAACTGATTGAGTTGGGGTATTTATAGGCACTAGAAGAGGGTAAGGTGGCAGACACCCAGGCTGGCCAATCAGATGGTTTTGTTGCTATTATGGACCAATAGGAGGAAAGGAGAGGTAAGGCAATTTAGGGTACCGTCTGGATGTCAACACCACCGTCCAGATGGTGGAGATTTTTTGGTTTTTTTCCTTGTGCAGCCCTCCTTTGTTGACTTCTTAATTACATTTGCGTTCTTTCTCTTGTTTAACCTCTGCACTTTTATTTCTTCGAACTTCCTTAATTACCCTTGAAACCCTACAAAAGAGATAAATTAAACATTAACCATAATACTTTTAAATAAATCATTTTTATTCAATTAACACACACTATTAACCTAAACTCTTATTCAATTTTGCACTTTTTAGGGTTAATCACTTCATAAACCTCTCATGAAATGTACCTCATGGTTCCCCAATGGGTACAGGTGATCTTGCCCAAGCAATTGCCTAAATCTCTATTGAGAATTCCACAATCCGGTTGGTTGATGCCGCCACTTGCACCATCACCTCCAACGTCCTGTGAACTATATCAGGTTGATTATGTTCACCTTCTCTGCCCTCCTGTTGTTGTCTATCTCTTGCCTCGGCCATAGTAGGAGCATGAGAACCTTCACCTTTCCCTTGATTCTGACCTTCAGGAGGATCCATCACACTTTCAACAATTTAGCTATAATTTACAATGTGCACAAATACACGTGCACTTATCATTAGGATGTTTAAGGACTCATAAATCTTGGTAGGAGATAGGAAGTCTACAAAATTCCCCACTGGCCTATTCCTACCAGAAGTAGCAGAAATAGACTTCTTATGAGATCAGAGAGTTTGAGCATGCATAGCTTGTAGAGCTTCTCGATCATCGACAAGGGTCGCATTAGGACAGTCAGGGACCGTAATGAAAGAGGTATAAGTTAGAACGTAACCAAGAGGCATATTAGTAGCATGACAGAAGAGACTATCATTGAAAGACCATAATTTGTTCAATTCTTCCATCTTTACAGAACGCTCTGAAATCTTTCCTTTAACAGTTCCAACTAGGAGGAGATTCCATTTTAAAAACATGGGTCGATAAAAAAAAGGGGGAAGAGGAGCTGAAAGGTATATCTTCAGTTACCTAGTGCGCCTTCCTCAAAGGGACATCTATAGGAAAAATTCTCACTAGCCTTCTACTCCTAGTTTCCAGATACAAAGATCATATCGTTCTCATGGCCCTTGTTTGAATTTGGCAAATTGGTTACTAGATAGCGATCCTTTCTCCCCACTATAATATAAATAATTATCTCTTACTCATTTGATAATATAGTAGTGGAGGATTTCCCATAAACCCAAACTCAACCCCAAAAGGTCATTGAGTGTTGTAACTCCCATCACTATTCTAAAAAAGTTAGGGGCAGCACTGGACAGGACAGAGTTTCAAGGAAGAAAGACCCACAAAAGGTGTAGATGGAGTGGAAACCTCATACCACCTTTAGTAATGGCTCAAGTATGAATGAGAATGGATTCCCTGGTTCTGATGAGGGGTTCTTCGGTACCAACTATGCGAACTTTGACATCGTCAGGAATGTTATATTTCAACCAGCATGAATCTTAAAAGCTGTGAGGGGAGCCATTTGAGAAAAGGGAGATAAATCCCAATAATAGAGCAAAAGATAGAGAAGGGGAAACTCAAAATAAAGGAAAACATAAGAAGAAATGCTTAAAGATTCCTTTTTAAAGAGATGAACAGGTGCCAAAGAAATGACGCTTGAAGATCAAAAGAAAATACATTAAATGAAAAGTATAATGTCTGACTAAGACAAGAGGGATGTATGGCTTGAGAAGCAAAGTAATCATCATCCTTGGGTATAGGAAACGACCGACAAATGTGTGCCATGTGGCGTACGTTTCCTAGGGGCAAGTGAAGGGACACAAATTTTTGGCACATGTCTTAGTATGATGATTCATGCACGTGACAAGGTCATGTGCGCATCTAGAATATGAACAGTTCGAAGTGATGTCAAGACCGAGTTGAGCTACTTATGACTGGGCTAAGGCTCATGGACCTTTTTAGGTATACTCGGATAAATAGGTCCAACTTCCCTAAGATTTGGAACAGCTTGAACTGAGCAAAGCAAATGGTTACCTACTATTGAGGAGAAAAAAGGGATAACATAAGTAAGTGGCTAAAATTGTGGTAGACATCGTCAATAGTTTTGAGGAACTAGCTGATTTGAGAACGTTTTACCTTGCAAATAAGGAGATCCCTAAAGGATAAAGACCGAGACATCCTATAAAAGGGACCGAAAAAGCTTAAGAAAAAGTACGCACAATAATATTTGTAATTGCCTTTGTCTCGATCATTTATTGACTTAAACATTATAGTTTNGTAACCAAGAGGCATATTAGTAGCATGACAGAAGAGACTATCATTGAAAGACCATACTCTGTTCAATTCTTCCATCTTTACAGAACGCTCTGAAATCTTTCCTTTAACAGTTTCAACTAGGAGGAGATTCCATTTTAAAAACATGGGTCGATAAAGAAAAGGGGGAAGAGGAGCTGAAAGGTATATCTTCAGTTACCTAGTGCGCTTTCCTCAAAGGGACATCTTTAGGAAAAATTCTCACTAGCCTTCTACTCCTAGTTTCCAGATACAAAGATCATATCGTTCTCATGGCCCTTGTTTGAATTTGGCAAATTGGTTACTAGATAGCGATCCTTTCTCCTCACTATAATATAAATAATTATCTCCTACTCATTTGATAATATAGTAGTGGAGGATTTCCCATAAACCCAAACTCAACCCCAAAAGGTCATTGAGTGTTGTAACTCCCATCACTATTCTAAAAAAGTTAGGGGCAGCACTGGACAGGACAGAGTTTCAAGGAAGAAAGACCCACAAAAGGTGTAGATGGAGTGGAAACCTCATACCACCTTTAGTAATGGCTCAAGTATGAATGAGAATGGATTCCCTGGTTCTGATGAGGGGTTCTTCGGTACCAACTATGCGAACTTTGACATCGTCAGGAATGTTATATTTCAACCAGCATGAATCTTAAAAGCTGTGAGGGGAGCCATTTGAGAAAAGGGAGATAAATCCCAATAATAGAGCAAAAGATAGAGAAGGGGAAACTCAAAATAAAGGAAAACATAAGAAGAAATGCTTAAAGATTCCTTTTTAAAGAGATGAACAGGTGCCAAAGAAATGACGCTTGAAGATCAAAAGAAAATACATTAAATGAAAAGTATAATGTCTGACTAAGACAAGAGGGATGTATGGCTTGAGAAGCAAAGTAATCATCATCCTTGGGTATAGGAAACGACCGACAAATGTGTGCCATGTGGCGTACGTTTCCTAGGGGCAAGTGAAGGGACACAAATTTTTGGCACATGTCTTAGTATGATGATTCATGCACGTGACAAGGTCATGTGCGCATCTAGAATATGAACAGTTCGAAGTGATGTCAAGACCGAGTTGAGCTACTTATGACTGGGCTAAGGCTCATGGACCTTTTTAGGTATACTCGGATAAATAGGTCCAACTTCCCTAAGATTTGGAACAGCTTGAACTGAGCAAAGCAAATGGTTACCTACTATTGAGGAGAAAAAAGGGATAACATAAGTAAGTGGCTAAAATTGTGGTAGACATCGTCAATAGTTTTGAGGAACTAGCTGATTTGAGAACGTTTTACCTTGCAAATAAGGAGATCCCTAAAGGATAAAGACCGAGACATCCTATAAAAGGGACCGAAAAAGCTTAAGAAAAAGTACGCACAATAATATTTGTAATTGCCTTTGTCTCGATCATTTATTGACTTAAACATTATAGTTTCTTCAACTGGTCCACTCCAATCCACTGCAGTCCTTGGTAGTTTATTCGTTTTGCGGGAGGAGTTGAGTGATATACCATCAAATCATTTCTAGCTAAATTATTTTGTAGGAAGTAATTTTTTTTATTGNCATCCTATAAAAGGGACCGAAAAAGCTTAAGAAAAAGTACGCACAATAATATTTGTAATTGCCTTTGTCTCGATCATTTATTGACTTAAACATTATAGTTTCTTCAACTGGTCCACTCCAATCCACTGCAGTCCTTGGTAGTTTATTCGTTTTGCAGGAGGAGTTGAGTGATATACCATCAAATCATTTCTAGCTAAATTATTTTGTAGGAAGTAATTTTTTTTATCGCTTACAATTGCAATATGATATTTTTGTTAATTTTTAATTACTCATTCTGTTAACGTCATTTTAAAAAAATAAGTACCAAAATCTAATAGAAGAGTTATATTACAATATTTTCAATATATTAAAAGTTGAGAGTACAAAATCAAAAAAAAAAAAATTAAATTTTTTGGGGTATCAAGTGAGATTAGCCATTTTGTAAATACCACCAGATATTAGACCACGTCAACAGCTCACCTAAAACGACACAAGCGATATCAGCGAGTTCGTGAAAGTGCTTTCGAAGTCTCAGAAACAGCTGCTGCTTCGTTCTCTCCCTTGCTCACTCTCAATGGCGGCGAGAAACGTACTGCTTAAACACCTGAGAGTAAAAGTTATATCCGTGCCATCCGGAAACCCTAGGGCTGGTCCATTCACTGCTTATGTGACTCAGCTGCTGAAACGCCATTTCTCCGAGGAGGTCAGAGGTACGTTCCTCGACAAGTCGGAGGTCACCGATCGTGTCATCTCCGTCGTCAAGAACTTCCAGAAAGTTGATCCCTCCAAGGTAAAAAAAAAATATCTCTTCCTTTTTTTCGGCACAATCAATTAGTGAGAGAGAAATGGTACTGTCTTGGAAGATGGGTGTTCATTAATAGTAGATACTCGTTTTGGAAAGATGGGTTTTCTGTTTTATTAATGTTAGACACTGTTTTTTGATCGATCGTTCCATGCTTCGTTTGGGGTCTGAGTTATTGTGTAATTGTTGTGTATTTTTATGACATTAGAGGCTGAAAACCCTATTGGGTATAATGTGGTATCATTGCATTTTGCTTGTATAATACATAGACCTCAAGATTTTTGCTCCCAAACCCTTTCGCATCTTTAAACAAACAAGGAAACAGATGTTGCTGGAATTACCCAACTCAAACCTGTCTCTCTATACAAATGATACCACAAATTCTAGGCCATTGGGCTATGAAGAAACAAATGATCAACACTTTCTACATCACCTTTGCACATTACACACAACTGAGGAGAAAGACAAATATGAGATCTCTTTTTTTGAAGTATGTCATTAGTGTTGATTTTACCATGAGCAACTGTCCATGTAAAAACTTGCACCTTTAAAGGTAATTTAGCATTCCAAACCATCAAAGCAGGGAAAACCGAAGGATACAAATTTTCTTCTAAGATTGAAAGAAAGATCTGCACGAAAAAAAACAGAAGACTCTATCATCCACTTTCTGCTATCCAAAGACTCCACCCTCATAATAGTGCTATAAGGAATAGCAAGAAATGAAATGAAATCAACTGTGTCTCTATCATCTAAGTTCCTAGGATATGAACGAAGCATAGAAAAAAATGGAGGAGTCATGAAAACGAGATAAATGATAGAGACGAGGAAACATATATGACAAACAATACTCTCCCACCCCTGCATCTTCCCAAAAACGAATTCTCCCCCCATTTCCTACCACAAAGCTAATACTTTAAGAAAATCTCGAAAATCCCTAAGAAGTGAATTTCCATGGATCAACAAAAACTATCCCTCTCAATCCTATTAGCATTCCATCTATTGGCATGTAACCTATTTTTGCTCTTGATAACTAAATGCCGCAAGGAATTTACTTCCAAAGGAAATCTCTAAAGCCACTCACCTACTAATGTAATATTTCTCACCTTCAAATTACCAATTGAAAGACTATCTTTATCATTAGATCTAGAAACCATCCTCCAACTAATCAAATCATTCTTGTTCCTTTCTTCATTACCTTTCCACAAAAAATTACTTATAATTTTTTCAATTCTTATAGCAACTCTCCTCCAAAATCTAAATAAAGATAAAAAGTATGTGAGAATACTACCTATAATTGATTGCACAAGAGTTAACCTCCCCCTCTAGATATGTAAGCTTTCCATTTAATCTTTTTCCAACTTTTTCTAGCACCGGATCCCAAAAAAGATAACGATAGTGGATTTCTTCCCAATGGTAAGCGTAAATATTTAAAAGGTTATTCTCCTACCTTCCCCCCAAAAAGCCAGCTATCCTATTAATCTTTTTCTGATAGGCCCATTTGTTTTTTTTTAACAGAAAGTAGGACTTATTGATTATTTTCCCATCAATTTATTGGTGGAGCCTTTGGGTATAGAAAACAATTCGAAAGTAATGGCTTGTCATTTTTGAAGTTGAATGAAAAAAAATCTTGAGGTCTATGCAATACTTGTGTTTCATAAGGTCATTCTTTTCTTTAGATGCTTTCATGGATGTTTGGAAAATAGGGGTCTGCTTGTAGTTAGTTATCTGGGATGGGTTGATTTTTGTCTAGGATAGGTTCCTGTTTGCATATGCATCATGTGTACTTGTCTTGTGCCCCCATGGCATGTTATACTTGTGTTATCTCTAGGAAAAAAGCACTTTGTTGGTTTATAGATTCCTTAAATTATTAATTGTACTCATTCACACTAGGGCCATGGTCTGTTACGGTGGGGAAGGAAACAAGATGAGTTAGGGCATAGGGGAGAGTTGTTGTGAATATAATGAGTGTTTTCTGTTTGATGAAGAAAAGTGGATTGTGTTAAAGAATTTTCTAGAAAAGATGGATATGTCATTAGTTCCTACAAAAAAGAAATGTAAGAAAAAAGGAAATGTGAGGGATGGGAGGAAGAAAATGGGAGTTAGAGAGCTTAAGAATTTACAATTAGGGATTAATTATAAAGGAGGGACTAGTTGAAGGATTAGGGAGGGTGTTTTAGTTTGTTATGAAGATTGTTAGTTGGGAGGGTTAGGGTTATGGAGGAAGATAAATACCATTAAGAAATTCTTGAATATATTGCAAGAAATGAAGGTGGAAGTCATTGATAGGAGAATTGTCAAAAGTGTGTGGGGATTTAGGTTTAGAAGTTGGTTTGTTTTACCTTCTACTTGGAGGTCGGGTGGTGGGGTTATTATTTGGGATGAGAGGTTAGTAGTTATGGAAGATTCCATTGAGGGAGAGTTTCGAATTTCTATCAAGATTAAACATAAGGAAGGGTATGAGTGGTAGTTGACGGGGTTGTATGTGCCTAATAAACCAAGAGTTAGAATAAGATTGTGGGAAGAACGGGCAGGTGTATTTAGGATTTGTAGTCCAAGATAGTGTATAAGAGATACTTGGAGGAAAAATTAAATGGGGGGTGGGATAACAAAGAGTATGAGGGATTTTGATAAGTTTATTGGGGAGACTGAGCTCAAGGATTCTCCTTTGGCCAATGGTATGTTCATGTTGTCAAACTTTAGAAATGATGTTGTGTGTAAGAGGTTGGATAGGTTTTTGTATTCTATTGGGTGGGAGGACTTTATTCTATCGGAAATTAGATAGGAGTTTTTTTGCTAGTCTTTTTTCTGATCATACTAGTCGTAGACCTATATTGATGGGATTTGAATGGTCTTCTTTAGAGGGAGNTCGGAAATTAGATAGGAGTTTTTTTGCTAGTCTTTTTTCTGATCATACTAGTCGTAAACCTATGTTGATGGGATTTGAATGGTCTTCTTTAGAGGGGGAGATGAATAGATGGTTGGAGAGACTTTTTGAGATAGAGGAGATTAAGAAAGTAGTCTTTGAGTGTAGTAAAGAGAAGGCCCCGGGTCTAGATGGTTTCTCTATGTCAATTTTTCAAGTTTGTTGGGATAATATGAAGGATGATTTGTTGAGAGTTTTTGAGTATTTTTTCAATAATGGATTAGTGAATGTAGTTACAAATGCTACATTCATTTGTCTTATCCCTAAGAGAGTCAATTTTTTAAAATTGAACGACTTTAGGCCTATTAATCTCATTACAAGTTTGTATAAGATTATAGCTAAAATTCTTTCATTAAGACTTGGGAAAAGCTTGAATGATACTATTTCTAGGTATCAAGGGGCATTTGTGAAAGGGCAATAGATTATGGATATAGCTCTCATTGTTAATCAGGCGGTTGCAGATTATAGAATGTAGGGAAAGGAGGGTATTGTTTTGAAGACTGGCTTTGAGAAAGCATATAACCATGTGGATTGGTCTTTTTTAGATTTTGTTAAGGAAGTGAAAGAGTTTGGAGGTAAGTGGAGGAATTGGATTAAGGAATATTTGGGATCAATGAATTTTTTTGCTATCTTAAATGGTAGACCTAGGGAGAGGTTTAAAGCATCCAAGGGACTCAAGCAAAAGGATCCCTTATCTCCATTCTTGTTCACCTTGGTGCTGGACGGGTTGAGTAGGTTAATGGAGAAGGTGAAGAGATGTAATTTGGTTGAGGAATTTGCTATTGCCAGNCATTAAGACTTGGGAAAAGCTTGAATGATACTATTTCTAGGTATCAAGGGGCATTTGTGAAAGGGCAATAGATTATGGATATAGCTCTCATTGTTAATCAGGCGGTTGCAGATTATAGAATGTAGGGAAAGGAGGGTATTGTTTTGAAGACTGGCTTTGAGAAAGCATATAACCATGTGGATTGGTCTTTTTTAGATTTTGTTAAGGAAGTGAAAGAGTTTGGAGGTAAGTGGAGGAATTAGATTAGGGAATATTTGGGATCAATGAATTTTTTTGCTATCTTAAATGGTACACCTAGGGAGAGGTTTAAAGCATCCAAGGGACTCAAGCAAAAGGATCCCTTATCTCCATTCTTGTTCACCTTGGTGGTGGACGGGTTGAGTAGGTTAATGGAGAAGGTGAAGAGATGTAATTTGGTTGAGGAATTTGCTATTGCCAGGGAGAGAATTTTAGTTAGAAAAGCTAACATTAATAAATATAGAGGAAATACCAAGTATATGAACACTAGTTCCTGAATCAATAATCCAGGAAGGTGAAGTTGATCGGGCTACCACATGTGCAGAATTACCTGCATTATACAAACCATCCGCTAATACTATACGAGAATTAGAAGAGCGAAAATTTAAAAAGAAAGAGGAAATACCAGATATATGAGCACTAGCTCCTGAATCAATAATCTAGGAAGGTGAAGTTGATCGGGCTACCACGTGCAGAATTACTTGCGGTTGCCAAACCAGCAATTAAAGTAGACAACTGAGGAGAGAATGAGGATAATTGCTAAATAAGCTGTCTAAGATGAGAAGTAAGGGCATCATTGGGGCGAGATGTAGATTCAAGATATATAGGAGTAGAGGCCAAAGATACTGGTGGAGTTGAATCATCAAATGCTTGATTAGCACAGACTGGTCTCCTATGCTTGTCCAACAATAATCCTCAGTATATTCGGTAGCTCCACATTAAGAATACTTCCACTTGGAGCAATTACCACGACCACATCGACCTCCACGACCAATGTCTCTTCCACTACGACTACCACCTTGGATCGGATGACGACAACCATCACACTTACCACTTTAGCCACCCTTGAAAACACCAAGACTATCATCACTAGTGATTAAGGAAGAGACTCCTGTGAGGCTAAAGAAATGCCAGGAATAAGAGAAGCTCGCTAAAGGCGAGAATTTGAACCAATGGCTTGGGCCAAGTTGAACAATGGACCTGTGTTGGATCTAAATAAGGATTGGGCTATGTCACTTAGCCCTTGACCCGGTTGTG